ATTAAGCTGGAATCAAACGCTTGAACTTTTTGGGGTCTTTCACATTGAAATGGGGCTTTTTACTACAAAAGTTTCCTTTTCCAAGAAAACGGTGACTAAACTTAATTTAATTTACCGCAAATTTCTCTGTAAATCAACCACCTAACGTGTGGCCTAACTGAATGGAAGACTGTAATTAAGAAGCTGCCTGTAAAACTGAGACACACCGTCCAGCTGCCACTGAAACACTTCTCTGATGATTACAGTGCAGGAGTTGGCACTCAATCATTCTCTGACCGTACAGATAACAATTAATCTGCTCTTCATGAATGTATATACTCATTCACTCTACCTAGGAATTTCAACTCGGACGCCCTCTGCCTAGATAGGTAGACTTAGATGCCTTATACCTAGAAAAATATACTCGGATGCCCTCTGCCTAGACAGGTAGACTTAGATGCTTTCTACCTAGAAAAATATACTCAGACCCCCTATATGCCTAGATAGGTAGACTCAAATGCCTTATACCTAGAAAAATAAACTCGGATGCCCTCTACTTGGATAGCTATACTCGGATGCCATCTACCTAGAAAGATAAATTCGGGTGCCCTCTGCCTAGAGAGGTATACTCGGATACCGTGTACCTATATGGGAATACTCGGATGCCAACCGCCTAAAAATGTAAAATTGGATGTTCTCTACCCAAAAAAGTAAACAGTATGTCCTCTATACCTATAGAGAGGTAAACTCAATTATTGCATTCTACCTTGGATTGCCCTCTACCTTAATTGCCCTCTACCTAAACTCGGATTCCCTCAACCCAGAAAGGCTAGCTAGGAGGCTTTCTATCTATAGAGATATAATTGGATGCCGTCTATTTAAAAATTTAAACTTGGATGCCTTCTACCTAGAAATGTAAACAACCTCTGCTTAGAAAGATCAATCCAGAGTCCCTCCAATTAGTAATGTAAGCTCAAACTCTGATTTCCTCTACCCATAATTCTACCCTTCGAAAAAGTGTAATCATGAATTTAATTTAAAGTGGTTATCTTTCGTTGTGCCTTAAGGAGACTAGACGAAGCTATGCAGGAGCATATGTTCAGTCTTAAAATGCCTAGCACCTTACGTGCGGACCACGGGCCATACTTTCGAACTTGCTAAGTGAACGTCGGTCCTTACACTCTATTTTCCTGCCTCTGATTGGTGGATTTTTTGCTCGAAAGGCCGTCAATGATTGACTTATGAACTTATGATCTCTTAACTTTTTTGAAAGTATAGGCCCGTGGCCTATACTTTCAAAAAAAGTTAAGAGATCGTAAGTTCATCAGCCAATCATTGACAATGATTGGCATCATCAGCCAATCATTGACCCAGACAAATAAGTCCAAGGCAAATAAGTCCAGCAGCTATCCCAATCAATCGTCAGTTGTGGAAAGCTTGGGTTCCAAAGGCCGGATCCCTTGTGAATCAAGTCACGAATAGTACAAGAATCGGCCGGCAATTCAGTGCCGGCAATTCTATTGTATTCTATAAGTTTTGATCGAGGGACTCTGAAGACAAGCTTGCCTTAAATGGAGGATTTCAAAATACCACAATAAACTGGCGGCTTAAATGACTGCAGTTAAAGGCAGCTTGGTCGCGAGCCAGAGGTAATAAGCGAAACAGTGACTTTGGTCGGTAATTGATGTGTAATCATTTTACTGTAACTTCCTTGCGTGCGCTTGTGCGCCGAGAGTGAACGATATACCACTGGGCGTCCTTAGCGCACGCAATTTATGACGCAGGTAAAAACGCTGCAAAAACTACACTTAAATTGGCTGGGCCGCTATCTCATTCTTGCTTTTCTCTGAGGTAACCTTCAGAAATTTTTTCGTTACTTTGATTGACAGATTCAATTAACATGGCATAAGATTTACTTATATTTTTATTTTAAAGTGAGTTTAGCTTCAAGTTTGACAATCGATAGTACATATGACTCCAGAAATAACATCTAAAATGCGGTTGGCTAATATAAATTAGTTATGTGGACTCATAAAATAATGAATTTAAAACAAAAGCATATGAAGCAGGTCGAGGATCACCAATAACAAGCTTTATTTACAGTGAAGTAAGTTCTTCACGAGTATCATTTTCAACCGAAGGGATAATTTATTAAGTGACTATTAACTTAGTAACTTAGGAAGCGCACGTGTCTAATTAATTTTGTGGCTTCATTTAACATTATCATGTCCTGCTAAGTTTCAGATAAATTCATTAAAAACTGGCTGAATGCGTTACATAAATACGTAACCATAAGCCTTAACGTTTTAAAAAGAATTCCGGCCGAATAACTATTAAAAAATCCTCATAAATTAGTTTATACAACCTTCGGACAAGGATTGTAAAAAATTTTAGCAGCATTTTCACCATAATGACCACTGTCATTGGGCCAGCTTAAAGGCTTGGCTCTGGGGGCCAGTGCGGCTCCAGAAACTGGTCTGCTAAAACAAAGAAGAAAAAAAAAAGAACACATCCTTTGGCTCCAGAAACTGGTCTGCTAAAACGAAGAAGAAAAAAAGAACTCAGCCTTTGGCAAACACGTAAGCCAGCCATGCAGAGAGCGGCTGTTGCCATGCAGTACTTACGTAAGCCCTTACGTCTGCAGCAGGCGAGTGATAGAAGTCTGACCAGTTCTCAGCTTAATTCGCTGCTGCATGTAACAAATTATTGAAGCATGGCGTTGCAAATTTGTCCTTCAGTTAAGTAACTCAATCTAATGACGTGCATATTGCGTTTCTTCTCCTATATAACTCCGTGAAATGACGCGCCTATTGGGAAGTTTGTCAGTTAGACTTGCTAATTCATGGATATTTTAGTGACTATTACCGAAAACATAAAAAATATGTTAAATTTTATAAATAAATTATCAACGAAGTAGATTTTCTTCAAATCTGAAGAAATGTCAGAATGATTCATCATTGAGTTGCTTTTGTTTATGGAAATTCCTGGTTCTCTGGTATTTTTGGGGGTAGGAAATTAGAATGTGAAATAAACTTCTGTGAACGTACTATATATGCCTCCTGTTCTTCTGTCAGCTGATGTCATACCATACAGTCATGGTGCGTGTACCATACAGTCATGGTCCGTGTACCATACAGTCATGGTGCGTGTACCATACAGTCATGGTGCATGTACCATACAGTCATGGTGCGTGTACCATACAGTCATGGTGCGTGTACCATACAGTCATGGTGCGTGTACAATACAGTCATGGTACGTGTACGTTTCACGTTAACTGGGGTTAAACAGGTAATTCGCAATCTATGCACTGACCTCACAATCTCTACTGACCTCACAATCTATGTACTGACCTCACAATCTACGTGCTGACCTCACAATCTCTGTACTGACCTCACAATCTATGTACTGACCTCACAATCTACGTGCTGACCTCACAATCTATGTACTGACCTCACAATCTATGTGCTGACCTCACAATCTATGTACTGACCTCACAATCTCTGTACTGACCTCACTATCTATGTACTGGCCTTACAATCTAAGTACTGTTAGCGGCTGATACTTGTCAGAAGGTTCAGCCTAGATAAATAGTCCTTAACTATCTTATAAATTTTTAATTTATCATGGGATTATCCAAATCATTTATGTGAATCGGTCAAGGCAAGGTAACTTTCCGCTACTCTCGAACTTCAGTAGATGACCTCAATATTGTTGCCATATTAACTTTAGATTTAATAAAATTCTTTCTTATATTTGTCTTCCCCAACATTTCAGTTCAATTGCTATTGTTGCCATGAATTTCATTCCAAATGCATTGAATAATAATCAAGTCGCCAGAGTATACACACGATTTTTATCAAGGTATTTGTGGTCTATCAAGTTTATTGTATTTTGCAGGCTGATTAAAAATTCTGAAGTGCTTATGTTTTATTAGTTATTACTGCTTCTTCTTACCATGCCCGGGGTTAGATGACCGCTGAGATTTGAGCTGTCCGTATTAGCGTTGCATAAAATCCCTCCTGCAATCCTGAATCCTTAACCTAATTCCAAACTATAAGATAAATGTTACGAAAAAAACGTAAAAACCCACGTTTAGCTTAGAGCTGCACATTGCTCATTCAAAGTACGATAGCCATTTTTCGAAATACTTTATGATTCTACTACTAAATCAAATTGAAAATTTATTTAAATAAAAAAACGCACTTTTCCATTTCAAGTTTGCTCTATTACCATCGTTAGGCGAGGCTACTAGATTATAGCACTGAGCATAAAATTACAGATCCTCTAATGGTACCAACACAAAAAGTATTAGGATATATGTAATAGGCAAATTATAGTGTGCTATCTTTTTGTTCTTCGGAATATTGCACGATGTATATAGTTTTACATACATGAACTTTGAGAGATACTCAATCGGCCTGTATCGTCGAATCTGCAATGCTGGCGATTGAAGAGCTTAGCCTTGGAATTAAAATTTTTTGAGTATATTTTTTTGCTCCGATTATTTTGTCAGAATCTGCCGAAGGTCTAATTTGACCAATAAGCATTCTGGAATATCTGACCAATGAGGTTTGTTTCTAGAATTCAGCCGTTGACCAATGATGAAGAAGGTCACATGGTAGGAGGGACTTGAGGGAAGACTATATAAATGCAGGGAATCACTGAGTGCCACCACAGCTCCGTCTTCACTCGTCAGGTGAGTGTCACACAGCAGCTTTCAGGTCTTAGTAGCGAAAAATGGAAATTCGCCTATATTCTATGATTAAATTCCACTCCTATTTTCAATGGTTAAATCCAAAAATTGTTCGGGTCACAATTTAGCACTTTAAGTTTTACGTTATTTTACTTCGAATTTTTTATTTCAACTTTTGTTGGTAGCAAAATTAGTTACTGCATGATTACGAATCATCTAAGCACGCGGCACATCCCTCGCTTCTGATTTATGACTTATCTACGTTTTCACAGAGACAGGAATTAATTATTCAATATGTTTTCCCGTTTCATCTAAGCTGTACTTGGTCCTCTAAAAGCACAACATGTTCTTCCTCCTCAGCATGCAGGGAACGTGTGTTGTGCTTCTCGCCCTCCTGGGCCTCGCGGCCGCCCAGGTGCAGCTCAACCTCGAGTTCGAGTACCTCAACAAGTTCGGCAACGTCAAGGTCAGTACGAATGAACTGGTTTGAGGCTTTTATTCCATAGACCTTTTCCTACATGTAGCCATTATAGGCGCCTAAATTTCAACGTTGACAGAGTGACATAAGCCTACCCGTTACGGTGGTGTCATATCATTACTGTGCATACAATTTTTACAAGTAAAAATTTGTTGATCCTCATATCCAGCGCTGGTGGATCAAAACAACGGGGTGTAAAAATAACTATTCGTATCAAAATTTTCACGATGTCACTATTTATGAATAAATGTGGTTACACGTTTCTTGGTGCCCTGTAATTTTTGTAGCTACATGCAGAGCATCTCAAAAAGCAAGCGTGGTCACGGAGTGATTCAAATCAGGCAAAAAACTTTGATTCCTTATTAGTATTATCCTGATATCCCTGGCTATAGTATCCTGCTAGGTTATGGCTTATATAAGATTTATAATCATACCAACAAACATCCTCAGCGGAAAAGATGTGGGGGCCACGGCAGTTTTTGGCAGTAATGCTTTCACTCCGGAGACGTGCATTTATTGAATTGCATTTATTACATTGTTTGTCTCATTAAAATTACATTCAGTGGAGATAGTAAGAGAAGCCACATGCATATTTTGATCGGGGAATTTTCCTGGACCACGGGTATGATTAACTAACGAAATTAAGACTGTTAAAGAAATGTTCTATACTCATTGTAATTTAAACTTTTGTGACCACTTGTCAACATTTTTGCTGAATTTATTATGAAGACAATTGCTTTTAAACTGTGCGTCTTTTGCAAATACTTTACAGATCTATATTCAATATGATATCGTCAACTAAAAACCTTAAGTTGAAAGACAGTATCAAATGAAAAATTATCGATTAGATTATACAATTAATAAAGTAGGTGATGACTACCTCAAGAAGTAGTGATAAAAGAAATGTTTCTACATAATGAGCACTTTATAGATGGCCGAAAATCTCATTAGAAAAATAAGGCACTGTTTTAAACTGTAACTGAATTTAAAGAGATTGAATTAGGCACTAAGCATCGCTGAGTAGCTTTTAATGAAACCTAACGTAAATCTTGGGAATGACGAAGTCCTTGCCTGGCGCAGGTGCGACAAGCATGCTTCGGTACCGAGGCGACCATGGCGTACCACGCAGAGGTTGACCGCGCCGTTACCACCTGCTTCGCTAAGTTTAGGGCACCGCAGGTCTCCAACGACAACGGAATCCAGGTACCTTTTGTGTTATAATAAACTATTTGATTCTGATTTGATAGATTAGAAATAAAATTGTTGCTAACGCTTTTCAACACGTATATTTGTGTTGATACTTGTAATTGTAAAAATAAGAAATATGAATGATTCATATGTGGCAAGAGTATCGTCACCTATTAAAAAGAATGTCCATAATATTATACAGTTATTTTTCATCATTTATTCAGTAAGCGTAAAAATTTTGCTATTAAAGATTTATTTACAATTTTTTTTCTTTTTTTCAGACACTTTTCAGCCTCTTCCGTAAGGTACGTTGAACCAGCAAATTTGTTGTTGTCGCTTGTTGTGTTTTCACCTCATTTAAAAAAAAAACTTACGAGTCCAAGTCATTAATTGGAATACGATTTTGTTTTAGCTTCTGAAATACACATTCTTATGAAAATATCACCTCTTCAGGTCAGTGATTGGGTAATCATTTCTAACAGTTCATTGCGTTGTACGGTATTTTCACTAACATTATTTATTTAGAGATGCAGATTTGTGGACAATATGTATGATGCGGATGACAGATATCGCATCCAATCATTTAGAATTTAATGCTGGGAATCGAATTTACTTCGATAGTGATGCAGAACATGATAAATTTTAGAGACGGTTGTGCATCTAGACTCATATCACACATCAATCTGATTATAGCTTACGCCATGCGTCATTTTTAGTAAGAAAATTGTTCATTTCCACCAATCATATGTCACGCGAATGAATTTTAATCAACTCATGTCAAAAATTTAAACCCCCTATAATTTATCGCACGCCCGATCTGGTGGGCTTGATATGTGCATTTACCTGTGCTTGGATTTTTGAACCATTAGGTTTATAAGTAGCAGATGCTGAGTGTATTTGATCGCGCCTTCACAAGCGAAGCCATGCTAAATGTTGCTTAACTCTACAGAAGCGATCAGCCCCGCGCTATCCCTCGTCTCGCGTCAAGTTCATCGCCGACGAGATCAAGACCGAGGTCGACTATTTCCGCTGTGTCATGACCGAGATGGGCATCGTGAGTATGCATTAACCATGCTTAATGATGAGCATTGTAACCGCCTACCGCAAGCTGGGGTGTGTCGATTGTTGAGAGAACATTTAAATAGTGCAGTGAGTTCATCAACCACCACTTTATAAATAAATTCTATTCCAGTTTGAATGTAGTCCTGCATATAATTAGCTTTAGAGAATGTATAAAGAAGGTTGAACTTCTGCCAATGCTGAGATTATCACACAGACCGACAAAGATAACAAGCTCGACGCCAACGCCATCGTGGCAAGGATCAAGTCTGCAGGCCTGGCCGCGCAACTGGAGAGCGACATGCTGCATGCTGTCAGCGAGTGCACCAAATACGCCGTACGTACCTCACTTAGACGGCACCTAGCTCTGTATTATTACTTATCTCGAAGAAAGTTAGATCGAGTTATCCTACACGGGATTTCAATGTAGGAAGAAGTCAACTTATGAACAGGACCCATGTTACCCATTTGTAAAGACCAGATGAGTTATGGTCATTTGCTAAGTGTCGAACGGACACTTAGTGTACTAAACTGAACAGACCTGAAAACTTTGATACTATTTCACAATTACAATGATGATGATTAAAGGCAATAATAATAATTTGAAAGTACTAGATTATTATAAGCGTGCACATACAAATGCTCTACACTTTCATAGTCTTAATGGCAAAAATTATTTATAAGGGCTGTACATGCTTGGCACAGCTGTATTTTGATCAAACAAACCGAATTAGAAAAATTAGAAATTAGATTTTTTGTGTTGATTCGCGACCATCAGCATGATTATAAAGATTCATCATTATCATTCTTCATCAATAGAGTTTTTTCTCTTATTCATATATGATTTTAAGGTGCTTATTGGATCCATCTGATCGCAAGTGGCCAAATAATTCACCCATTCAATTTTTTGAGGTCGCCTATTGTATGAAGTTTGATCAAACATGATGCATCGTGAACAAACATGTATTCGATCGTTAGTAGTATGCTGACGCTGTAATTTTATTTAATTTGTTTCAGTTGTGCGTGCCTCCCGGCAAGGACTCGTACCCTCTGCCCAACGATGTGATCACCACCAAGCATTACCTCTTCTGCGAGAACGAGCTCCGGTCCTACGCCTGCCTCAAGAACGACGCCAGGTTAGACGCCTAGCCCAGTCTTGGCTATTAGAATAATTATCAACAGTAACTACATGAACTACAATGCAATTTGCAATTTACCGTTGGATGTGAGCGTCGTCTTCAAGTTTAGCAGTCTCTTTGCGAATTCTTGTCAAAAAGGCGTCAGAAAATTAAGAACTGATATCAAAATTTTCAAGTTATTCGGTAAACAATGTTCGATTGATGCTGAAATAATTTGTTTGTAAAATAGGAAATAAGAATTATCGACACAAATCTTGAGTTTTGCTCTTTAGGGAATTTTGCTTCCTCGATGCTATAATAAAGAAAGCTCTCCTTTTGCTACAGTAACGATAATGTATTAGGTAGCATGGGGTGGGTTAGTATAAGTATTTGTGTGTGGTTAAGGTCTCGTGTTTGTCTCATTAACGAGACTGTGTCGGCCAGTAAACTTCGATAGAATTTTAAAAAATCATTCGTTACTGAGACTAGAACGGACTGTACTCTGGTAGTTGATATGAATCTTTCAAGTCTCATATGGATGATATGTTTTCCTCCTTGAAAGAGTCTATTTTAATATCTATTCATTCTAATATCATATTCAATCCTCTCTCAGGTGGTTGGTTGACGACTTTGATCTCCGAGGTGCCGACCACAGGCTGGACTTCCTTGCCACCGACCAAGACAAAGTGGCCGCCCTGCTCTTCGCCAACAACATCGTCGGCCCTGACGACTTCGGTCTTTACGAATAAACTGCCTCCATCAAACACGCCTGTAATGAGTGTATACATTCGAATGAACCGAGCTATTAGGAGATCCTAGCAGTTTCACAAGCGACTTCGATATCTGATGAAAATAACGCCACTGAAATATTATCAGTTCATGTTTCTGTTACAAACTGGATCTAAATTATTTTGGATATTATAAAATGTATTGGTTTGAGTGAAAATATAACTGCATGAGTGAAATAAGAAATAAATTAAAAACGAGATTTTTATTTCAATTACCTGTGTAACATTATTTTCCAGTTTTTAATTTAAATTCACATGCCCATGTTCGAGTTTTCAAGAAAAATAATTGGTTTATTTCGTGAATGTCTTACAACAAATAAAAAATTTGAAACTTTTCAACAGACGCAATAAGCATCAAAATTATCGAACCATGCAACAAATAACCAAAAAATTATAGAAAGGGGCTTAATTATTTCGGTATTTTTAGGCTTATGCGTACGCATTCTCTAAAATTCCTGGCGGCAATGATATGCATTAACTGTAAAACGAATCGCCATTAACTTCATACACACATACTCATGGCAAGCAGAAAAGCGTGACAATACGCAAAACTGTTGACGTTATGCGAAGTTAATCTTCATTTAGGTCAATGGAATTTGAATCTTGGTGCATCATGACTCAAATCCTAATAATTTTACTACACGATACTAGTTATAATACAAAGTTAACATGCTTTATTTTGAGGTAACCTCACGATAAATATGTAGCTCTGATAGAATTAATGATATCAGACTGATATCTCATTTACGAGTAGAGTTACAGCCAATAGGCCTAGTAAAAGAGCCCCATAGGAGACAACTCGGCCTGTGTGGCGGCTGACCGCGGTGAACTTGAGATGCGTTCTCAAACTTGCCCGAACTCCTTCAATATTGCGAGCTTCCGAGAGACAAGTGCGGCCAGTGTTGAGGGCCCAAAGTCTGGAAGACGTCGTGCTACAGGAATGTCATGCGTGCGCAACCCCGTGTCGTAGCTGCTTTGTACAGAACCCTCATTTCACTCAGCAATGACTCCTCACTTCACTCAGCAATGAACCCTCATTTCACTCAGCAATGACTCCTCATTTCACTCAGCAATGAACCCTCATTTCACTCAGCAATGACTCCTCACTTCACTCAGCAATGAACCCTCATTTCACTCAGCAATGACTCCTCATTTCACTCAGCAATGAACCCTCATTTNCCTGTCTCTTATACACATCTAGATGTGTATAAGAGACAGTGTTTAGCCTGTTGACGCAGCCGGAAATGTGGAAGTGAGCCTCGCCACTGAAAAAAACGACCGCGTCTTCAGGCAGGTTGTCAACCAGCATTTTACATGCATTTTGACGGGCAACAAAATCGCGTTAAGTTAATTCTTGCACTACAGCAAATTTATTTGAGAAATTTTAAGAAACAAACTTGGGAACTGTCCCCTTCAGATGCACCCCCTCTCGCCCCTCTACTCGACCAACTAACCGCACAGGAATTTTTTCAAATAAGTAAGTTTCTGTGGCGCACCCTGTATATGGTGTTATACATCATTAGTTTTGTCTCAATGAGCTCTACAAAACTATGACTAGTTTTTTCATTACAAATTGTATTTGAATTGTATGATTTTTCTATTATTCGCCTCAAAGCAGCACCATTAATTACTAAATATCTTTGACCCCTTAGCTTTCTTTTACAGATTCAACATGATGCGCAACTATAAAAGGAAGGCTAATGTAAATTACGTGTATTAATCAAAATTAAGTCTACAATGCCTTACAAGAAATTAAGAGTAGCTAATCGCTAAAGGCCAGAAGTGCTAAGTTTAAAATACCAAGAAAACCGTTGCGTCGGCACAGAGACTGTAAGGTGTGGCAGCCTTGAGTTCTTTGTTTAGGAGGATACGAAAATGCCATCCCTAAAGATGCGAAGTAGCAATAGCTACGTGCATTAGAGATATGCAAAAAAGAATGTTCGGACTGACATGCACAAATGCGAGAAAAATTGCATTCATTGTTGAGCAACAAAACATAACCCAATCATGTAACACGTAAACCGAAATATCTGACAGTGATTGGCTGAAGAATTTTATATATAATTTATAAATATAAATTATATATAAAATATATAATTTAGGTCGGTATAATTTAAGTATTCACATTCAATATGTCAAGATCACGAAGTAGGACTAGAGTTCCCAGTCAAATCGGCGTCGGAAATTTTGCTGGATCTCCGCGCTTCCGGTCTACATACGTCTTCCCGGTGACTCGTTGGCGCACTCGAGAGGGCAAGGTTCACTTGCAAAGTAAAAGAAGTTACTTCGACTTTTCATGAGGAAACGAATGAAGCCATCACAAATCTAAATGGGTAATATATTGTTGATCTGGGTCGTAAATAGATCTCTCGTGTCGACAATATTCACAATAAGATGAATGAGAAATCTGCATCTACCATTTTATTGTATATAGGCCACTTGAAGTGTGGAACTTCGACATGAAACCCAATATGATTATTACTAGTTTCGACTTACAGTGCTATCATTGAAAATTTGTACACCTTATGTATACAATCAGATCCTTTTCTTAGTCTCAGACGCCCAATAATTCGTAAGCCGCGTGACTGGAAAACTGTTGAGGAAAAAGGAAAAAGTGCATGGTCATGTAGAGACTCGAATTCATATCTCGCGTTGTATATCTATAATAGTGAATTTCATCAATATATATATATCGTTAATTTTCCAAACTACTTTAACTTAATTACCTAAACTCCTATTATTCGGTCAATTTCACTATTAGCCTACTAATAAATAAACAATATAACAATCAAAAATATTATCTATTCTCAAGCACGAAACATATTTGTGAAATTTGTGAATGATAAAACATTTAGTAAATTACGAAAATACTTCTATGTTCGAATCGCGTGATATAGAAATTGTGAATTCTCTTTAGCCGTATCGCAACCATTTGCGTGTCGCCTCAGCGCCCATTTCTGTCAATCGAAGTCTTGTGAACAACTGCTGGGAGTAATCAGCCAAGTTCATCTCCAGACTTCTGGAGATGAAGTTGAGAGTGGTTGCCACATTCTGATAATTCTATTCACAATTTGAAAGTGGAATTGTTACTGATACTGAATAAAGATAGTCGGTTAGAGGCATGAAATGTGTAGAATAGAATAGAATAGAAGTGACGGCACTGAAGAAATAGGCCCATGGCCTGTTGCCAATTCTCGAATTTTTCGTGACTTGATTCACAAGGGATCCGGCCTTTGGAACCCGATCTTTCCATAGCTGACGATTGATTGAGATAGCTGCTGGACTTATTGCCTGGTCCGTAATTTGCTAGGCATTTTAAGACTGAACATATGCTCCTGCATAGCTTCGTCTAGTCTTATTGCCTGGTCCGTAATTTGCTAGGCATTTTAAGACTGAACATATGCTCCTGCATAGCTTCGTCTAGTCTGTTTTTGAAGGCGTTCATACTCGGAGCGTCAACGATGCTATCAGGGAGTCTGGATAATGTTTTAGCAATTTGTTTGAACTCGCTCCGGCAATATTCGATTTCAATAGCGAGAGACTAGATTTACTCTTCTAAAGCTCATCTTAGTTGAAGTTCAGTTCAAATGTTTCCAAACCATTCAGCTGCCGCGTATTGAATTATGAAACATTGAATAAGGTTGTGTCCTATGTTTAATTAAGTCCAATACCGAAATCCAGGTGTTGGTCTACGGCATCATCCTTAAATACGCCGATAAAGTTATCCTACCTTCACATTCTCTTAAATCCCAATCTTCGTATCAACTCTAATTAATTAGGCGAGTGACTATATTCAATACGCTCAATTCGACGTGGAACCCCTTAGCAACCCTCTTTCTTCAAAAAAAAAATGATGTAAGAAAAAAGAGATGCAAGGACGGAGTTGACCTATCATCGTGGAGATATACAAAAAAAACTTTTTTCTATACTGTTGGGATTATATTAAAACAAAACTAAATTAAAAAACAAAAAGAGAACATCGGGCTGGACATCTGACTTCGTACCTAGAGATGAGTCGGGCGATACGAGTCACTAGTTTACTTATTGGCACTGAAGATTTCGTTGTTGTATAATCTCCTCTATTAAATTTTCAACGTCCAAATTATGTGCCAACCAATATTATTGTTTTCCACTTTAGTGGTCATCAGGTCGAGAGTAAAACAATGCGCCGACAGCGAATCTAAAATATATTTTATGTAAACTTTATCCCAAAAACTTCTCAACGGTCATCAGTAACGCATGGCAGGACCTTGCGCAGATGTTATTCCTAATATTAGTATTTATGGATATGTTCTGAAGCTTTAACATTTATTCTAAAATCCTGACGATACTTTTTTTAATGTCGTTAAAATAAATTCAAAGGGGGCCCTCAAATTAAGCTACTTTCTCTGAACCGCAAAGAGAAAATAACTGACTGGTAACTAAACCAAAGACTACCTCGTGTGTATATATATATATATATACGCTAAAGAAATTCCGAATTGGTAATAGACTTTGTCAGTGGGCACGTTTAGTATTTAAATTTGCTTGGCAGCTCTAACGCTCCAAATCATCTACCGATACAAGATAACCAATTGTTCTCTATCGTGCCTTGAGGCAGTTTATAAGCCAAGGAGTTTGGTTGCTGCACCTTCGTGAGTCAAATCAAATGGTGAGAGCACGGCAGCTATTTCAACTTTTTATTTTTTATGGATGATGAATAATCGAAATAATCTAGAGAGCTGTTGGAAAATCTATCTGCTGAATGAACTATATGAAAAACGTCAAGCGCCACTTATTAAAGCCACCAGTTGAATTCATATCACATATTTGATATTGCTCTTCATATTATTGATGTGAGAGTTCTACACAAGAAATGTGTACAATACGTACACTTTTCATCAAGCTGCCAAAATCACTTGTTCTCGAATATTTTGAAGATATTCTGACCCAGAATTGCCGCTTTATTAGGTATTTGAATTAATATTGTGGGCTGAAAAAATAATTTTCATTTGTTCATTTCTGTTTTCATTCATTCATTTATCTATCTACCTACAAAATTCTCCTAATTTCTTAATGCTTTCATTGCCTCGTAGCTCCTTCCCGCAAAAACGAGCAAAGGTTCCGGGCTGTCACACGGAGAACATATAATTATAGGTAGATGGATAAATAAATGAATGAAAACAGAAATTAATAAATGAAAATTATTTTTTCAGCCCAC